CAGGCAGAAAAACAAAAATAACCCCAGTTATTTCCACGGAGAGAATTTAATAGAAATAACTGTTTGCTGGGTACCAAAAACCAAAAAGGCAGAAAGGGAAGCCCTGAGGTATCAGGAAGCCTATCCCCCTAGGGCTTGGGGGTCAAATGGGAGGGTGAGATTAGAACTTGTTGGGAGGGAGTGTCACCAGGCTGGAGCAGGTACCTCTGAGGGGCAAGATGAGGCTGGTTCTGGAAGTATGGGGTGACACACAGCTGGAGACTGGGGCCAACTGAGGGTCCAATGTCAAGCTTAGGGCCACAGCAAGCACACAGCAGGTCTCCGCTCCCTCCCACCTCCTTCCAGGGTCTCTCTTTAGCGCCACCTGCTTACAGAGCCTAATGGGGAGCTGTAAGCGAAGCAGAATCCCAGACTCAGCCTCACAGAGCAGAGCTGAGAGAGGATAACTTCATAAGAAGCACAGTGTCGGATCCTTCCTCAATTAGAGATTCGTTAGAAGGCACATTCCCTGCCAAGACCTCTCCATCTGTTACAGCAGCAAGAGCCCATAGGGGATATTATGTCACCGGACGTTCCCTTCTTGGGGCTCTGGGATTTCCCAACAGGGCATCAAGTGTAATGTGCCACCATGTTGCCCAACTCTGCAGCTCACTGAACACTTCCCCGCCAGGGCATCAGCTCTGGAGACCAAAGCCATCATTTGTGCCTCACTGATCTGTTGTGCTCACTGATACAACCCAATTCATATTTAAATTTATATTTAAGTCACTTGGAATTGAATAAAATTAAAACTTAAGAATGCGTTTCTTCAGTCTCACTAGCTACATTTCAAGGGCCCAACAGTCAAATATATGAGGCTAGTGACTACCATATTTAACCACACAGAATAGAACGTTGCCATCATCGCAGGACATTCTGTCCATCACAGCCGCCCCTAGAGTATTTAAAATGGGCACGGAAAGAATGCTAATAAGACATGGGATCTTCCAGAGGGGCGCGTAGTAGGTGGCTTCTCCAAACTTTCTTTTTAGCCAGTGCGCCCTTTGCTTTCTTTCTCTTTTTTTTTTTTTTTTTTTTTTTTTTGAGACTGAGTCTCATTCTGTCACCAAGGCTAGAGTGCAGTGGTGCGTTCTCAGCTCACTGCAAACCAGGTTCAAGGGATTTTCCTGTCTCAGCCTCCTGAGTAGCTGTGATCACAGGCACCCACCACCACGCCTGGCTAATTTTTGTATTTTTAGTAGAGACGGGGTTTCGCCATGTTGGCCAGGCTGGTCTCGAACTTCTGACCTCAGGTGATCCGCCCACCTTGGCCTCCCAAAGTGCTGGGATTACAGGTGTGAGCCACCGTGCCCGTCCCTGCTTTCATTGATTAAAACTCGGGAAACCTTTGGTTGTGTAATCCTGAGATAGTTCTTTGAATTTCTCTGGGTTTCAGTGTTCTATTCATGCGTGGCCAAGGTCATCTCTGACTTTGCTGTCTTCTTTGCCAGCCCCCAGTAGCTGCTGTCACTTCCACACGCGTCCCCTTTGCACAGGCTGAGTTTTAAGGAAAACAAAGGATGTTATTCGCAGAGCCCTTTACTGACCTCCCCTTGCGCTGTCTCCCCTCAACAACCCTTCAGCTTCCCACCGCCACAGCTGATCACCACCTTCCCTGTGGCACACCTCTGGTAGCTTGTGACCCACAAGAGCACGTCCAAAGCCAGAGCCCTGGGCCCACCCAGCTTGCCCCTGGGCCTGTGCCCTTGCCATTGCCTCCTTAACTCTTCCCACACCCTGCCCTGTGTCAGACATGGCTTGTTCCCCAGACCCGCTGTCTGTCTCACACCCATGATCCCCTTTGTCCAGCTCTCCGGCCTTCACAGCAGGACCCTGCTTCCCTGACAACCCTGGCTACCAACCCAGCAAAGTCACACTTTACCCAGGCTGCTGCCCACCAAGGCCTGAGCCTGGCAGGGGTGCTAGAACCCAGGTGGGACTCTTCCAGCGGATGACTTTGGGCTGCAGACTCCCCAGCGGCCTGGCTGAAGCCCTCTCTGGGCTGCTCTGCCATCCCAGATTGTCCCCGATTCTGCCTTCTCCTCCGCTCCCAGGTGTTGAACCTGCTGTGTGGTCCGTAGCCGGCCCTGCCCGCCCCGGTCCCTCCCGCTTTGTCCTTCAGAGACGACCTCCCCAATAAATCTCTCATATGTTTCATCTCGTCTTGGCATTTACTCCTCAGAGACCCAAATGGACACAGCCATAGATTTCCCTGACCCAAACCAGGCAGAGAGTCAAACCCTATTTTATTAATGTTCTTGTAGCCTTCTGTGTATTTCTCTGTCCTAGTACCTACCACATTTTGCCATTACTGCCACCGCTGCCAGCATTTTGTCTATCTCCTCCACTAGGCAGCTCCCTACCATCAGGCTATGTTTCTCACGTTCTGGCTTCCCCGTGTTTGGCATGTACTAATATGTGCTGACTGAATTGCGCCATTTGTCCTTTGAGGGGCCAGGCAGTCCTCTCTCCACGTGGTTAGTATTAAAGGAAGGCATGTTGCATGTCTCTGGTCAAAGAAAGATGCAACCAGGCCAGGTGCAGTGGCTCACGCCTGTAATCCCAGCACTTTGGGAGGCCGAGGCAGGCACATCACCTGAGGTCAGGAGTTCGAGACCAGCCTGGCCAACGTGGTAAAACGTCGTCTCTACTAAAAATACAAAAATTAGCCGGGCATGGTGGTTTGTGCCTCTATTCCCAACTACTTGGGTGGCTGTGGCATGAGAATTGCTTGAACCCGGGAGGTAGAGTTTGCAGTGAGCCGAGATCACGCCACTGCACTCCAGCCTGGGCGACAGAATGAGACTGTGTCTCAAAAAAAAAGAAAAAAATTTATGCATGGGACAAGACTCCATCTGCCATTCATGAAGCCATTCATTTCACAGTTAGTGGTGGGTTTTTTTTGTTTTGTTTTAGAGACAAGGTCTTGCTATATTGCCCAGGCTGGTCTCCAACACCTGGGCTCAGGTGATCCTCCTGCCTCAGCCTCCCGAGTAGCTGGGACTACAGGCCACTTAGTTTCTGAGCAATATGGTACCCACAGTCTGTTTGTTTTTTTCCAAATAGGCACCCTGCAGTACATGGCACCTGAGATAATTGACCAAGGGCCTCGTGGGTATGGTGCCCCAGCCGATATCTGGTCCCTGGGCTGCACCATCATCGAGATGGCCACCAGCAAGCCTCCGTTCCATGAGCTCGGTGAGCCGCAGGCAGCGATGTTCAAAGTAAGTCATGCTTTGTGATTGAGGTTGGGCGTGGTTGGGAAGTAGAATTCAAAACAAAGTCTCCTCCCAATGCAGAAAACCTCTCCACAAAGGTAGGAGAGAAGGAAACAGTTTTTTATTGAATAAGCATTAAACCAGAGTGTGAGATGCGTCACAGGCGATCCGCTGAGACTGCAGGGACGGAAAGCAATCTCACCGCTTCATGGAGCCGAGCAGACACAACCCGTGACGTCTGGGATCTCAAGAGAAACCAGAACCGGCCCTCAAGTAAGACAACTTGGTGGCGCCATTTGTCACACAGAGCTCATCTCAGACTCACCTGGTGATTGGGGGAACCGTTTGTGTTCACTGTTTGGCTTCATCCAAAGGAAAATATAGGCCGGGCCTGGTGGCTCACACCTGTTAATACCAGCAATTTGGGAGGCCGAGACGGGTAGATCACCTGAGGTCAGGAGTTAGAGACCAGCCTGGGCATCATGGCAAAACCCAATCTCTAATACAAAACACAAAAATCAGCTGGACGTGGTGGTACACGCCTGTAATCCCAGCTACTTGGGAGGCTGAAATAGGAGAATCGCTTGAACCCGGGAGGCAGAGGTTGCAGTGAGCCGATTGCGAGATTGTACCACTGCAGTCCAGCCTGGGTGACAGAGCGAGACACCGCCTCAAAAAAAAAAAAAAAAAGGAAAACACTAAACTCGTATCTTTAAGACAGTAGGTAGGTAGTTTTGGAGTGAAGCCACCACCAAAGTGAAAAATCTACCTTCCTATTTCTGGGGAGAGCAGAGTTATGAAAAAATTAATAAAAGATGACAAGTTTAAAAAAAAGAAAAGGAAACTAGGAGATAGAGACCCTCTCTTCTTTGATGATTACATTTCAAAGAGATGGCTTCCAGGTCCTTGGAAAAGACATTTCTGGCAAGAGGCTTATTTAGCTGTTTAAAAGATTCACATGTAATTTGGAGACAGAAAGAACCTTACAATTATAAGTTCTCTAAAGTCAAGGCTCTAAGAAAGCTGGGTGGGGTGGGGGTGGGGGAAGGCCCTTTCTCCTTATTTTCAACAGGGAGAATCCAGGCCCTTAGTTTCCCTTCATGTTTGCTCTTACAGTGGGTAAGACTCCAAGGCCATGTGGGGTCTTTGCCTTTGGGGGACAGGTTTCTGACTGGCTTCTGGAGAGGTGGGAGTTGGGCTATCAGGTAAATATAGCCCTTATCATTCCAACAACCCTCCCGGAGCTAACAGGAAGGGCAGTCCGTGTGCTGGGGCCAGCATAGTGTAGATTGAGCATTGTGGGTGGGGGTTTTTACGGCTGAGCAGCCAAAATTGTGGAAAGGGACGTCCTTCCTTGTGGCCTCACGGGAAGCTGATGCCAGGACACCCCTGTGTACCCAAGGTCAGGTGTGCAGCTTCTGGCCTCGTGTATACTTAGAAACATGGAAGGGGCTTGATATGGTTTGGCCGTGTCCCTACCCAAATCTCATCTTGAACTGTACTTCCCATAATCCCCACGTGTTGTGGGAGGGACCTAGTGAGGATAATTGAATCATGGGGGCGATTTCCCCCATCCAGTTCTTGTGATAGTGAGTTCTCACGAGATCTGATGGTTTTATAAGGGCTTCCCCCTTTGCTGGTTCTCATTCTCTCTCCTCCCGCCCTGTGAAGAGGTGCCTTCTGCCGTGAATGTCAATGTCCTGAGGCCTCCCCAGCCATGTGGAACTGTGAATCAATGAAACCTCTTTATAAATTACCCAGTCTCAGGTATTTCTTCATAGCAGCATGAGAACGGACTAATGCAGGGCTCTGGCCCTCGGATGCCGTTTCCAGCACTGACCTTCCATGGAGCATTGGCTTGAGAGAGCAGGCTCACAAAAGGACGAATGGCCATTGCTTATGGATGATGGGGCCACAGTGTGTGGACATGGGCCTGATAGAATGCGATTCCAGAGGCCTCTTCCTGGCTTCTCTGCCAAACATGGTGTCTTCATGGCGTGCGTCCGTGCCGGGCTCCCTGCTTGCCTCTTGGGCAGAAGGAACTTGGAGGTGTGAGTATGGGTTTCTGCCGGTTGAGGTGAGGGCAGCACGTCCAATGGGTCCCGAGTGCTGCCTGTTTGGGTGCCTTGGCTGCTCTCTTAAGCCTGGCCAGGCCCCTGAAGAAGGTTCTCAGGGCTTCTCGCCCTCCTGTCAGCTGCTGGGGTTCAGAGCCAAGGCCAAGACCTCGAGTCGACAAGAGTCTTCTGACACCTGCAATCCCAACAGGACCCTGAGTGCCTGAGCTGGAAGACGGCGACGACCTTCCTCAGCACTTTGACCATCTGCGGTGGACCCTGTTGGGGCCATTGTAGATCTAACCTGCAGCTTCCGTAGCAGCGTTGGAATAAACAGCAGCGGGTGATGAGAAAAACATGAGGCCCACCTGAGAGCCATGACTGGCTGCTTTCTGACCAGCTGACTTCCGGGAAACCTGGGAGAGGGCTGAAGGCTGTGACTGGCTCGATTGCTCAATAGGGCGTGAGTGGCTCCCCACCTCCACTTGTTTTTGTTTAGCTAATTCACTGTACAAAGGCCTTTTTTTTTTTTTTTTTTGGACAGAATCTTACTCTGTCGCCCAGGCTGGAGTGCAGTGGTGCGATCTTGGCTCACTGCAGCCTCTGCCTCCCGGGTTCAAGGGATTCTCCTGCCTTAGCCTCCCGAGTAGCTGGGATTATAGGCGTGGGCCACAATGCCTGGCTATTTTGTATTTTTAGTAGAGATGAGGTTTCACCATGTTGGCCAGGCTGGTCTGGCAACTCCAGTGATCCACCTGCCTCCGCATCCCAAAGTGCTCCTCGCCCAAGTGCAGGCGAGGGCCACCGTGCCCAGCCTGTACAAAGGGTTTGAAAATGTATTGACTTCTTTGGATGGCATATGAAGTCACTTTTCATTGCCAATGAGAAAGTTATTATTAAATAAATAATGGCCCCTGTGTTACTTATTTCTGGTACCCTTCAATCCTTTAGAAAAATTTCAAGAAACTTCTGGGCAGTATCTGAAACAAAGGAAACTCTCTTTCCCCCGAAGGGAGTGTTGCAGATTTAACTGTGTCACCCAAAAATGATCTATGAAGTCCTAACCCCCAGTACCTCAGAATGTGACCTTCTTTGGAAATAGGGTCTTTACAAAGAAAATCAAATGAAAATGGGGTCTGGAACGTGGGCCCTAATCCAGTATGACTGGTGTCTTTATACTTTTTTTTTCTTTTTTTAATCTTTTTATTTTTTTAACTAGTCAAATGAAACAGTGGGAGTGGAGAAGGAACAAAGAAATCTGTAACTGTTTGTCATCAACTAGCTGCAAACACCACTGCACTTGGACCAGCCTGGTGTCTTTTAAAAAGGGGGGGATATTTGAGCCAGGTGCAGTGGCTCACCCCTATAATCCCAGCACTTTGGGAGGCTGATGCAGGAGGATCACTTGAGGCCAGGAGTTCAAGATCCCCTGGGGCAACATAGCAAGACCCTGTGTCTACAAAAGATTAAAAAATTAGCCCATTTGGTGGCACACACCTGTGGTCCCAGCTACTCAGGAACCTAAGGTGGGAGGATCCCTTGGGCCCAGGAGTTGGAGGCTGCAGTGAGCTATAATCATGCTACTGTATTCCAGCCTGGGCGAACAAGTGAGACCCTGTCTCAAAAAGTTGGGGGGTGGGGGTGGAGACTTGAACACACATGCTCAGAAGACAAAGTGCGATTCCCAGGGGAATGCCTCGGGGAGGCAGACGGGTGAGGGGGGTGCATCTAGGAGCCAAGGAGTGCCAGAGACCACCTGAAGACCACGAGAAGCTAGAAGAGGCAAAGGGGGATTCCCTACATGTTTCAGGAGTCCCTGGCCCTGCCAACACTTGGATCTTGAACTTCCGGCCTCCAGGACTGTGAGATAATAAGCTTCTGTTGTTTCAGCCACCCAGTTTGTGGTATTTTGTTACAGTGGCCCCAGGAGACCTATATGAGGACCTTTTGGGTCACAGCAAAGCACCCTTAAAGAGGACATCCCAGCCAGGTGTCAGCGTGCTGCCCACTTTTGCTGTCTTCTGAGAGCCAGGGGAGAGGCCACCCTTTCCTCTTCATGTTCTTGCCTGAATGTTGGTCTTTGTATCCTAGCGCCTGTGAGCACTGCCGACTTAACCTCCCTACCGCTCAGGTGAGAGGAGCCACCTGTGAGGCGCCCTGCATTGCAGACCTGGTGGGGGGATTTCACCCAGCATTTAGTGTTCTTCGAATCCGTAACTCCTGAGCTGGGCAGCCTGGCCAGGAGGAGCGGTGCGTTGGAAACAGCACATGGCCATGGCTGCCAAGTCAAGGGGACATGAAGTCGGGAGGCTCTACCCTCTACACTGCAGCACTCTGAGCTCTCTCGGCGGGGCTCGTGGAGGCCAAGCCAGCCCCCAGGAGCTCTGAGGAGCTGGGAATGGGTGTGGGTCTGGAGGACAAAACAGCTTCCACGCCTGGATTGTTGGGTGGGCTTGGAAAAGACACAGGGTGGACTGCGAAACTGAAGGTGACAACTCCTAAAAAGATGAGAGGGCCACCCTACTGGGAACAGTTATGAATGAGGGGCTATGTAACATGTCATGGAAGCATGCCCATGTCACAGCAAGATGTGACAGCTCAGAACCAACTCTTGCTTCCCTACAGGTCACAGGGACAGAGAGCCATTACTTACCTGTCTGTACGTGGGCAGCCTCAAGGTTTTGTCTGCTTGTGGTTTTGAGCTGGAGGCTGGGAATCTGGGCTGTGGATGCAGAGGGATTGAGAGGTGTTAAAGGCATCTCTTGGGGACCCTGTGCGTCAGGGAACAGGTAACAGATGCCTTTCAGTATCCTTAGAGGACATGCCGCCCTAGGCTGTGTTCCAAGTCCCATCTCAGTTCTCTACTGCTATGTACCAAACCACCCCAAAATTTCAGAAGCTCAAAGCGATGGCTTTTTCTCATGCCTCCGTGAGCTGTTGGCTCTTCTGTGGGTCTCGCCTGGGCTCACTCACGTGGTTGCAGCTAAGGTGGTTTGGCTGGAGCAGAGTGGCCTGAGAGGCCCCTCCCTCGTGGCAGTTCCAGCTGGGATGGCTGGGGCGTCCTCTCCACGGGGTTGTGCCTCCTGGGCCTCCTCTCTGCATGGTATTCTCGGGGCTTTAAGGGGGACTAGCGGAGCCACAAGACCTCTTAAGGCCCAGGCCCTGAAACTCTCACCATGTCACTTCTGTCACCATCTGTTGGTCAAAGTCAAGTCACAAGATGCCGGGGGCAGGGCGGGAAATGGACTCCACCTCGGGGTGGAGGCATGGGTTATGCCCGCCCTGTGCCAGGTGTACAGGAGCTTTGGACTGAGACGTGGATACCCGAATTCACCCAAGGCCTCACTGACACATCGGTTGTCTCTCCCTTAAACACAGGTGGGCATGTTTAAGATCCACCCTGAGATTCCAGAAGCTCTTTCAGCTGAAGCCCGAGCCTTCATTTTATCCTGTTTCGAGCCTGACCCCCACAAACGCGCCACCGCCGCTGAGCTACTGAGAGAGCGTTTCTTAAGGCAGGTGAACAAGGCCAAGAAGAACCGAATTGCCTTCAAGCCCTCAGGTGAGGCCTCCCTGGCCAGCTGGGGCAGCACCCTGGCCACCTGAATGCTGGGCCCCTGGGCTTCTCTGCTGCTCAGGAGGGCGAGTTCTGGCTGGCCAGAGTACTGGGCTGCTCACGTCATGCCCATTTTTGTAAAGAGTGACGGGACCTATGCAGTAGGTTTGGAGGTTGTCAAAATTTAACTAATAAATGCACCTGGATCTTCTGACAGAGGCCCGGGGCGTCTCTGGGTGGCTGGACTGCCCTCTGCTGGAAGTTGTTCCTTCAGGATTGGGAAGAGAGTAGGGGGGCTAGAGGTACCCCAGCTGGGGTTCTTTGTCTTCCCCACGTGCAGAGCCTGGGGCTTCCGTTTTGGAGCCTGGCTTGTCATCATGTGCCAACCCTGACCTTGATGAAAGGATGTGTCAGGGAGGTTTGCCTGAGGTGGCTGTCCTGCAGGCCACCGAAGTCCAGTGACACCTTCTGGGGCAGTAAGTCCTAACTGGCAATGATGTAAGAGTGGACCCTGAAAAGGAAGCAGTTTATCCTCTTTTCCCTGGTACCGATCAGGGTCAGAAGCCACCAGAGAGTGACTCAGCAACTTGCTGCATGAGGGACCCCCGACTGCATGCATCGGAGTAGAAATACAGCACCTGGGGCCCATACCCCGCCCGACCCCCATTTCTCCAGGATCCTGGGTGCCTGGGCAATTCACCTGGGCCTGAGGGGCTGCCAGGGACTCAGCCCTACCCCGTCCCTCTCTGAGGCTCCCCATTCGGTGTCTGGCTGTCCCCCTACAGAAGGTCCCCGGGGTGTCGTCCTGGCCCTGCCCACACAGGGGGAGCCCATGGCCACCAGCAGCAGTGAGCACAGCTCCGTCTCCCCGGACTCCGACGCCCAGCCTGACGCACTCTTTGAGAGGACCCGGGCGCCCAGGCATCACCTTGGCCACCTTCTCAGGTACACCCGCGTCCTGTCCCTCCGCTGCAGGCCTGAAAAGGTGCTGGCAGTCCTCTGCCACAAGGCACCTCCCTGGGCCCAAGCAGATGGCCGCTGAGGGGTTTTGCTTCCCTTCTGCAGGGCAGTACGGCGGCTGGGCGGTCCCATCCTGGCAAGGAGGGCGCTTCATTCACTCGCTGTGCCTGCCCCTCCCTCCCTGTCCTTTCATTCCCCACGTGTGCCCTCACCCATCTCTCCTCTTCCCTTCTTTCTCCCCTCTCCTTCGATACTTCCCCTCTTTCCTCTTCCTCTTCTCTCTCCCCATCACCTCCCCTCGCCCCATCACCTCCCCTCGCCCCCTCTGTCCCTTCATCTTCTGGCTCCTTCCTCCTCCTATGCCCCTCCTCCTCCCGTCCTTCTTTTCCTTCCTCTCTCTCCCTCCTCCCCCTGTCCCCCTCACCTTTCCTCCCTCATCTCTCCTTCTGCGCTTGCCCCCTTCCCTCCCTCCCTCCTCCCCCTCTCCTGGGAGGCTCCTTTATCCCGCCTCCCCCTCCTTCTGCTCTCCCCGCTGCTGTGGGGGTTGACAGAACACTGCATGTCTGTCGTTCCTCTGACAATTTCATCTTCTTGAGCACAGGGACTGCGTCGCAGTTACCTCTCAGCCCTCCTCCAGGGCGTCCTAATGTGACACACTCCCGGGGACAGTGCCCCGGCACGCACAGAGATTGTCACACGTGTTTGTCCACAGTGTTCCAGACGAAAGCTCAGCCTTGGAAGACCGCGGCTTGGCCTCATCCCCGGAGGACAGGGACCCAGGCCTCTTCCTGCTGCGCAAGGACAGTGAGCGCCGCGCCATCCTGTACAAAATCCTCTGGGAGGAGCAGAACCAGGTGGTTTCCAACCTGCAGGAGTGCGTGGCCCAGGTGCTTGCCCGAGGGAGGGCACCGACTCTTCCCGCTCCCTCTGCCCAAGTCCCAGTCCCCAGACAGGTCCAGTCAGGGACCTCGGTTCCTGCCGCCCTGGAACATCTGCATAGTAACAGTGATCACTGTAAATGTTTCCCTAATGTCCTTCCCTTCCCCAACAAAACAAAAGAAAATACAAAGAAAAAAGCTCTGCGGAAACATGGATTTGCAGATACCGCAGTGATTCTAGGCATTGGTGGGGCGGTGCTGCCACCTGGTGAAAACCAGCCAGATTGTAGCAGAAAGCCCGAAGCACTTTCTCTGGCCCCTCGCATGATCCGCTTTTGAGTCCTGGAGTGAATCCCCAACTGTAGGACATGCTAGAGCTGCCCTCAGAAGCTGGGAGAACAGCCACCTTGGGGAGGGTGGTTATGGGTGAAAATATCTGACTTTGAACTAGGGCGCAGGACTGGTAAACCGATCCCCCTCCCTTATTTCAGTTTATTATTATTGTTTTTTAATCTTTATTATTTTTTTTAGACAGTCTCACTGTCGCCCAGGCTGGAGTGCAGCGGTGTGGTCTTGGCTCACTGCAAGCTCCACCTCCTAGGTTCAAGTGAATCTCCCGCCTCAGCCTTCCGAGTAGCTGGGATTACACGGTGCCTGCCACCACACCCAGCTAATTTCTGTATTTTTAGTAGAGATGGGGTTTCGCCTTATTGGCCAGGCTGGTCTCGAACTCCTGACCTCAGGAGATCCGCCTGCCTAGACTTCCCAAAGTGCTGGGATTACAGGTGTGAGCTACCACGCCCGGCCCCCCTCCCTTATTTTGGATGGAAAAGGGCCTTTTAGGAAAAGGCCACTGCTCCGCTCTGAACTATGTCTATGGCCTTGATGGGGGCTCTTACAAGGGGTTAAACAGGAGGCCATTCACAGAGGGGCTTAGCCGTGCACCCACCAGGGAGAAGAGGCCAGAACCCTGACAGGATGGTTATGGAGGGAATTCCAGGAACCAACAGAGACCCCTTCTCACCTGGGAGTTCCACAAGTTTCTCAGCAAATGAACCATCTTGCTTCCCCCAGTATGTTCTGAATTCTCGCTTTCTCAATCCGACTCACTCAGTGAAAATGATTCGTGTGTGTTGTCAGAGTTCCGAAGAGTTGCATCTCTCAGTTGGCCACATCAAGCAAATCATTGGGATCCTGAGGGACTTCATCCGCTCCCCAGAGCACCGGGTGATGGCGACCACAATCTCAAAGCTCAAGGTGGACCTGGACTTTGACAGCTCGTCCATCAGTCAGATTCACCTGGTGCTGTTCGGATTTCAGGATGCCGTAAGTGCTCCATCTGGCCCTAGGGAACACACCAGATCGTGGAATTCAGTGACCATTTCCTCCATAGCCCCCATCTCTTCTTAACTGTGTGCACCCGAACCCTGAGCTTCAGCAGCTCCTCCTAAACAGTGAAGTCCAGGAAGTGGCATCTGGGTGAACTGGCCAATTGCATGCGGTCCCCAAGAGGATGAGTATAGATTGCCATGATTCTCCGTGCAATGCACTAGAAATCTGGATTTTTGTGATTTTTCTTTGTTTTTTTAGGTAAATAAAATTTTGAGGAACCACTTAATTAGGCCCCACTGGATGTTCGCAATGGACAACATCATCCGCCGAGCGGTGCAGGCCGCGGTCACCATTCTCATCCCAGGTGAGCGCCCCCTTTGTGGTCAAGGTCAGCTTTAGGCCGTGAAAAGATAAGAAGTATCCTCTTCATTCAACAGTTGTTGCTTTTCTCTTTTCCATCTTGGTTATCTACTTCCTTGCAATTAAATGCCTGTTGTCATAGACCTCTTGCAGGGCTGATGCTGCAGTTCTGAGAGCATCTCATGGTGCTGTATTTACATGTCCCTGAAGCATAATGAAGGTGACTGCACATAGACTAAACTCACGATCTCAAAAGGGAGCATGGGGCTGGGCACGGTGGCTCACGCCTGTAATCCCAGCACTTTGGGAGGACGAGGTGGGCAGATCAACTGAGGTCAGGAGTTCGAGACCAGCCTGGCCAACATGGTGAAACCCCGTCTCTACTAAAAATACCAAAAAATTAGCCAGGCTTGGTGGCACATGCCTGTAATCTCAGCTACTCGGAGGCTGAGACAGGAAAATCGCTTGAACCTAGGTGGTGGAGGTTGCAGTAAGCCGAGATCACGCCACTGTACTCCAGCCTGGGCAACAGAGTGAGATTCCATCTCAATAAAAATAAATAAAATAAAATAAAAATAAAATAAAAAGGGAGCATGGGGCCAGAGAGGAAGGATCCTCCAGTCCCCTGGGATCCCCCTCATTGTGCACTGAGGAATGCCTCCTGGGTAATTGACAATACAGTGGCTCAGATTCCTCTCTCCGAATCATCACATAGTAGTTACAGAAATCTTTGGTTTTTGTCGATTTCCTTTTTGTTTTTTTTTTTTTTGTTTTTTTGTTTTTTGAGACGGAGTCTCGCTCTTTCGCCCAGGCTGGAGTCCAGTGGCGTGATCTCCACTCACTGCAAGCTCCGCCTCCTGGGTTCACGCCGTTCTCCTGCCTCAGCCTCCCCAGTAGCTAGGACTACAGGCGCCGCCACCTCGCCCAGCTAGTTTTTTTTTTTTTTTTTTTTTGTATTTTTTAGTAGAGACGGGGTTTCATTGGGTTAGCCAGGATGGTCTCGATTTCCTGACCTCGTGATCCGCCCGTCTCGGCCTCCCAAAGTGCTGGGATTACAGGCTTGAGCCACCGCGCCCAGCCCAATTTCCTTTTTGAAACGTTACCAAAGTTGATTCTCCTTCTCTGGCAACTTCTTCCTGCTAAGGGAGGCTTTACAGCCCATTCTGTTGCCATCACGGTTTCCCCCTTTCCTTCAGCCCCCTGCTGATCGGCTCCGGCTCACCCTCCTGAATGCACTGTGTAGCCCAGGCTCGGCTGCAGGAGAGGCCTGGGAAACCCCAGTGCTT